AAAGACATCTTTGTTCAGTCTAAATCACAAAGAACACAAAATAATTTGTGGAAAAATTTAAGAATTCATGCAAGAGTTTTCAGACAGTATCCACAATACTTGAAAAAACAACCTTAACTCTTAGAAAACTCTGAAGTAAACCAGGAACTGAAAAAACCACAGATGTTATCACACAGAAATTATTAGAGTGCTGGCAGGATTTGTGACCCCACAGGTGACCCACACTGGAGCGGTCTGTTCCTTAAAGGCTGCACCCTATGGAGGGGACCCACACTGGAGCAGTTCAAGAACTGCAGCCAGGGAAGGAGAAGTTCGTGGATGACTGCCTCCTGTGGGAGTGATCCCACACTGGAACAGGGGAAGAGTGTGAGAAGTCCTCCCCTGAGGAAGAAGGAGCAGCAGAGACAGTGTGTAATGAACTGACCACAGACCCCATTCCCTGTCCCCCTGCGCCACTGCAGGGCAGGAGGTAGGGAATTTGAGAGTAAAGTTGAGCCTGGGAAGAAAGAAGGGCTGGGGGGAAAATGTTTTAACATTTGGTCTTATTTCTCATTATCCTACTTTGATCTGATTGGCAATAAATTAAGCTAATTTCCCAAATTGAGCCTGTTTTGCCCATGACAGTAACTGCTGAGTGATCTCTCCATGCTCTTATCTCAACCCACAAGCCTTTTGTTATATTTTCTCTCCCTTGTGCAGAGGAGGAGGCAGAGTGATAGGACACAGTTTTGGTGGGTACCTGGTGTGCAGCCAGGGTCAACCTACCAGTCACACTTTCAGTCACTTTCTTTCTTTGATTTCTACTGCTGGGAAATGTGCATTTTTTAGGTTTACATGTCCTAGGTTGTGTGACAGACCATCACGACGACTTACTAATACAGATTTACAAGAGACACAGACTAATACCAAAGACCAGAACCAGGTGCCATGTGGATATTAAAAAGTAGATGGACCAGTGATCCATGATCCCAAGATGGCTAAATGCAGACAAAAGATGAATCTGCACAGGATTAGTAGAGGCTATGTGGACGGTAAAATGGCAGAAAGAATGTCAGACAGTGGCATTGCAGATATTTAATGTCAAACTTGGTCTTTCATTGTGCTACTAACCAACAAACAATATCAATTTGTTGTTATTTTTATTTCATATCATAAATTAAATCTGGGACCTGCTCTTAAAAGCATTTTGCTCCTGGAATGCAAAGAAGAATCTGGCTATATATTTCATCTCTATTTGATTGTCACAAATAAAGGGGAGATGGCTGGCATTTTTAACACATTTTGAAAGATCAGTCTAGACATTTATTCTAGCTGTATGACAAAATTACATTCAAACCTCCTGGAAGATTTACATCAACAAATAAAAACTCACAGAGGAAAAAAATGTGATACGTTCCAACAAATTCAAAGGAAATAATGTGAAAATATGCCCAAACACTATGCATCAAACCTTGGCCAGCTACCACAGAAGCTGTGGTGACAGCTGGTCCCCAGGAGAAAAAGGAATGAAACTAACTCGGTAACAGCCACTTTACAAACAAGATGATGCCAACACAGGAAACAACCATGACAAGCAGAGGATTCATCTGCTCTTTTTTATTAACTATGTCAAATAGTCTTTCCACTGTTAAGATGAACTTACTTTTTTACAGCCATCTTCCCTATGGCAACTAGAACACAATTACATATTCCATAATGCAGGAAACTCTGCATTGGGCTACTTCGTTTCTTGAACAGAATCAGTAGTGAAATACTGGACAAAAAACATCTGCCAAGGCTGGCTGTCTCCAGGAGAAAATCTACACAACCCCGTGGACACAGCCAAGAAATAGTGATTAAGGCATCCAACAAGAGAAGCGCTATCATAGTAGTAGTAGACCATTTGCATAACAGCACCAAGATTAACAAAGAATACTACTTATTCAGAGTCACAGAAACTGTCTTTATCATCTCTTAAATAGGAAGTCTTCCGTATGACACAACAGGCCTTCCTCACAAACAAAAACAATCAGCCACTTCCCTTACATAGTTACCTCATCATCTGATCACTACTCACCCTTGTAACTGCTTTCCCACATAAGGAGAAAAAAACTGCTTTAAAAACTTACAATTAATCTTTCTAATCCAAATATTATATTATAATGTATCTTGAAATATCTAAGATACATTTATATTTATATATAAAAATAAGTAATACCAGCTTACATGCAGTGTTCCAGTTACGTGAGATACATAAGTAACAACTTTCTAAGACATCACTGTCAAAAAGGGCATCCAGCAGCTAGTTAAAACCCTTAAAAAAGATATCAACAAGTGCACATGTACTTAAAAACAATACAAATAAAAAACCACAACAAAAAACTCAGCAATAACAAAAAACCTCACCAAAAAGCCATGATTCTCAGACCAAATGAGAGCATCTGATACACTCACTCTAAATTTATGTTCCTTTCAGGAGAAGAGACCAGATGGACTTTGTGTAGATAAAAAGAGACTGCTATTTCCCTGGGGGAGCTACTGTGCATCCTAAGGGAAAAGAACACCCCAGAGGTGTGTTCTTTTGCTCTTGTGCCAAAGAATGTGCACACATGAAGCTGGGAGTTTTCCTGCAACTCATGTATTAAAAGGAAAGAAGAAGACAGCCTGACATCAAAGGTGAAGGAATGAACTTCCTCAGGACTAGAGGCAACCAAGCATTCTATAACACAATATAATTTTATTGCCCGAAGCCAATGTTGTAAATACACCAAGAACACAGGCTGAATATCCTAGAAACACTTTTGTAGCTGTTTTTTCTTATGCAACTGCTTTGAATTTCTATATTGTAAAAAAATAGTCCACATTTTATCCACATTTTATTTTAATAAAACCGAGTTTCTGGCTCTTTAGTTTTAGCTCAAACAATTTTAGTCTTCTTTGGGGACGTCACAACACAGCCAGGTCTAAAAAAATCTACTACTAAGACTCAACAGACTCTGGGATATTCTGCTGTTGCTAACCACTGTGACAGTCTAAAGAATGCTCTTATTCAACAAGAAAATTCTTAAGAAAAGAAAAAATAGAGCAGCTGTGACTGCTTTCATCGTATACAAACTTTTGCCAGTACCACATTGGTTTCAGGACTTCCACAGTGGGATTCATCTCCTAACTTCCAGAAGTCTACAGCGCAGACTTTTATTATTCAATGCAGAGGACTATGCATTTCTAGTATGGGTTTTGCCTCATCCTGAAGTAGAGAGATGTGAAAAAAAGGCTCTCAGAAATATAGAACTTGCAAATTGGTCTTAATTATTTAGTAGTCATTCATGTAGGAAGGAAAGGAGTAAGAAAAGGAGGCAGGCACACAAAACTCTTCTGGCATCAAACACACAACATTATTCAGAGTTCCACTGTGGCAACTACCTGGTGTGATCCTGTCTATATAAACAGAGCAGCAATGTGTACACAAGTGATTTTGTTCCATTGATGGACATCAGTACGTCTGGTATTAGACTACTTGCCTCAGTTTTAGCAGAGACAGTTTCAAAGAATCAAGAATCAAATGACCTGAAGTCCAAGAAACCCAAACGGACATAACTTCTCTGGAGAACACGTATTTCTGAGTGGTAGCAACTATTGAAACAAAATACCTGGCGAAGTGGCAGCAGAGTGACTGAAGAGTTGACCATTTGACTGAAGATCTCCAGCCTTTTGGAAAATTCTGCTTCAGCCAAGCACTACTTTTATTTCAGTCAAACATACATAATTGCACTCAGCAGAGAAATAATTGGGTGAAATCTAATGGCTTATTTTATATAGATAATAACTCTCGATAATTGAATACTCCCTTCTCACTTTAAACTCCATCAATCTGTGACAAACTGGGTTTTGAAATTGTGGAATATTAAATTACAAAATTTAATGGACTATATTATTTGCACACATTAATAATCAAATTCATATTATTCTAAAACTACATTTTAAATAGTATTTACATTCTTTCCAAAAAATCAAAAATTCATATTAATTTTTCCTCTTACTACAGTATTATTATCAAAGGTTCATGCTTTACTACTTTGCTCTCTCATTCAGAGCTGAGCTTTTTATGAAAAGGATACTTGCTTAAGGTAGTATATTTAGTTAATTCAACAATTTTCTTAAGACTGTTTACTAAAGAGACACAAATTGCCATTGTGATTCTGCTGGGAACAGAATTATAAAATATAATAGCCTTACAGATAGATTTCACTAAATTATTAACACTTTCTGGATTAAGTTTGTTCAGCATGAAAAAAACTCACACATAATGTCTTAGTATAATACAAAAGGTATTTCAGCAATGGGAAGGCCAGAAGATCAACAACAACTGAAAACTTAATTCAAACACATCAGCAGTGTAATTAAAGGCCGTTTCTATGTGAAATACTCTGTTAAGTTCTAATTACAAAAAAGATGTTGTCAGAATGACAATTATTCCTGAAATTAAGATATTACCTACTTTTAAAGTAATTCCAATTATATAATATCTCAGTGATCAATGTAACAAATATATTCTAGTATTTAGGAAAGGCACAATCATATACCTAAAACAAATATTTTTAAGTTTTTAAATAGTTTAGTTATATGTACAAAGATGCAAATATGTACATATATAGACAGATGGAACTGAAAAGCAACAACTGTCACCCAGGACCAAGGTCTTCTGATAAAAATTATAATATATCAGGTTAAAGGGTTATACTCTAAGCTGTAAAGGCATAAGCTGGATATATAGTTTACGTCCCATGAAATACAAGTAATAATTTTACATTCATGTTTCAGAGATATATCAGCCCACATACCAATAATTTATCCTAAGAGATTTTTAAGCACTATATCAGTAGTTCACTTAAATCAATCCATAATCCTTAAAACATATATGCAGAATCAACTAACACAAGTACCTTTCCTGATGACCCAAATCAGACAGAAATTCATCAATGCGTCCTTGCAGTTCACCTCCTTCTAGATTTTTCAGCTTCTTCAGTTCACTCTGGAGGAAAAACCAAAGTTCCTTAGCCCCATTTTCAATCCTCCTCCTCAATATTTCATGGTCTTTTCCAAGGCCTCCTACTTTAAAAAAAAAAAAGACATAAAAGCATCAGCACTTGTAGCTGAATTATTTGTTAAGAAACCAATACATTTGTGATATGGAATACCAAAACTTGGTTTAGAAGTAAAATAAAACTTATCTACCAACCATCTCCTGTCCGCTTCTTATAGTTTTCTATCTGTTCTTTGGCCTTTAAAAGTTGCTCCTCTAAAGCATGTACCTTTCCTGCAGCTGGTCCCTGATCAATGGGGCCATCTGGTATCCTAGGATATAGAAAAAAGAGAAATTATATAATTTATATGTATAACTGTTATTTGGTGGATTATTTGCACTAACAGTTCAGCTCTCCTCTCTTTTTGTTCCATACTCTTTTGCTGATAAGCCTGCTTGGCATTTTCTTAAAACCCAAAGGAATTAAACATACTAACATAAATAAAGATTTTTAAACCTCAATCCTGTAAGAGGAAAACAGTGCATGCCAGAGCTGCAGCACACAGATTCAACATGGTGTTAAACTGTGGTGTTTACAACACTTACACTCACTGACAAGACCAATCCTAGGCTCTACTTGTGAAAACAGCATTTGCAGCAGCTTAACTCAGACCATTTGTTGGACTGACTGGCACACAAGCAAAGCCTAATTGAGGGATGTGCCTTCACAAGATTCAAGTTTTGGCTGCTTTCTATATTCACACATGAAATACATTCTTGTCTTGAATGCTGGCCAAGTATTCTTAGAGGACCAGAGCTCCAGCACTGTAACTCTTCTTTTAAGTTAAGTTTTCCTACATACTGGCACAAGATGATTTCAATGTGTTTTTCTGGACTCAGAAAAAGATCCTAGCTTCTTAAATGTACCACCATGATAATTTTTTTATGACAACTCTGGTATTCTAAATTGCTGGTCACCTAAAACAACAGCAACTGTAACATCCGTTTGTGATGGATCTGGTATGTCAGCACAGGAGAAGTAGGAAAATAAGTATCCTGAAATCTATGAACCATACGTCCACCCTGAGGGTATTACTGAGGTTTGCTCATCATCTCAACTTGAATCCACATATGAATAAACTGAAACTATTAAAGTATAGAAATTAAATGCTAACTTCTATTTGCCTCACAAATTAAAAAATTAATGGAGAGAAAATAAAACCCCCTTTTATCTCTAGTGAAATAACACTTCTGGTGGATCCACGGGTTAAAAATTGTTCCACCTTTCATAAGACTTTTGCAAAAGCCGTCCCTGAAAAGGAAAAGAGGAAACAGATGTCTAAAAGTCTTGAGAACTGTAAAGAATACAGAATTCTTGTGGAACATGAAGATGATTCTCCATTCATAATGGAATATGAGCATAAAAAGAAAGGGATATTCTCTCCACACATACATAGACAGTTTCAAAGCACCATATGGAAAAACCCCTTGCCAGATGAAAAGTGCCTCTAGCATAGAGAAAATAGCAGTTAGAGGGAGGATCTTCACCCTAAACCAGAAATGACAGCATTCTACAGATCCTACTGAGATGTCATTAAATTTAATGTCTCTCAGATCTGGATATTTAAATATCAACAAAAAATTAGGAACTGATGAAAAGTCCATTTTTACTGGAGTATTCTAAGGGAATAAAAACCTAATGTGAGCATCAGAAAAGTGTATCACACCAAGAATAGCATTTAAACCCCTTTTTTCCAGCAGGGGTAGGAGAGGTGGAAGAAGGCGGCTACGTAGCCTTACAGAAATTTAGTAGAAGATTTTGCTCTTTTAAAGCTCCCCCCAAAAGCAAATTAGAGATAATCAAATTATTGCAAAATATTTATTTGTGGTTTAAAGTTACTGTGGTAAATGAAAAGGAATTATCAATTACTACTCCTATATCTGCTTTTTTATGCACTGAGGGAATAAGTATGAGAAAACTGAGGAAAATATTCTAATCTTGAGCATGTGCACTCCCTAAATATACTCTCTCTGTATGAACAATCCATTTGTGAATTTGTTCCTACAACAGATGTGTAGCATTATATCATACTGACATATGGTACTGTATGGCCATGTACAAGATAACATAAACCTTTAAAAAGCATACTGAAACACATTTAAGCTCTTGCACTAGTTTAAAACCACAAGGTTGAAATATATTTGTGGTCTGCCAATTTTGTATCACAATTGTGAAAGGACAACTAACCACAAAATTACCAGGAAAAATGGAATGGCTTCTCCTGTGTAAGTCACATTCCCTAAAGGTAGAATTTGTGAGGAATAGTGAGGTAAAAAGCATACATAATCATTACCATAAGAAACCTTCAGACAACACACGGATCCTCTGAACATAAGGAAAGTCTATTAAAAGTACCTACTGCAGAATCTTACAGAAGGATGGTTGTGGATGATACAAAATAAGCACAATTCATTCTGACCAACTGTGTAATTACGATTTTTAAAAACAAATGTACATGCCATTTAACATTCTACTTGCTTTGGCATACTGCAATAAAGACATTTACTATACTTCAGTTGTTAGATAAAACGAGCGGGATGGGAGTGAGGGGCATTGTCCTAAGCTAGTTGTATGGACTTTCAAAAATCACATCATTTGAGGATAGAACTAAAAAAACTTATTCTTTCTGCAGTTTTGTCTCTACATCTGTTACCTCATCAGACTCGGAATTGCTGTCTTCCTCACTTTCATCCAGTCTCAAAATTAAGGAAAAGGTTCTTCTCTGCAACCAGCACAGCTTGCTTGTTACTGCCCTCTACAAGTACATCAACTGAGCTGGAGATAAGGCAACATTTGAGGGGAAAGTGTTTGAATTAAAATCCTTATCTATACTCATTGCATCATCTATGTAGGTTAACTTCTAGTGCAGAATATCCTAGTAATAATACACACATGAATAAGAACTCCTGTTGAAAAACACATACAGAAGTTTTCATAACAAAATAAGTCCTGACAACACATTTGAGAAGTGAGTTTAAACTAAATTTAGATAAACTATGATGATTCTGATCAACAATAAAAGAACGTGTCAGTAAGTATCTAGCACAGAATATCCTTCACTTATTGCTACGACAACATTATAAATTAAGTTATAAATATAAACAGTATTCACACACATTATTTCTAAAACTCAGGTAATACAAAACATCTTTACTTCCATTTATCTCCTGCATTGCTAATAGATATCTGTGCCTCTTTATAGCCCACAGGAAGGTTTTTACTTTTAAAGCATCATAGTTGCGCAAGAAAAACTACAGTGATTTCTCACCTAAGGCATTTCAAATGCACAGTAAAAACTAAGTGGTGCCTGAAGTCATTTCAAGTCATCAGAACTGCACCACAAAGGGTACTCAGTTCCTAAAGGAATATTCTTATTTCAGGCGATTTTCAAGAAGAAATGACTGTTCCAACTTGCACTATTGCAGAAATGCATATTAAAAAAAAGGGATATTAAAATAACCTCACCAAAAATCCTTACAAAAATATACACTATTCTTAACCAATATGGGTAATAAATTACAACTATTTGAAAAATTAATAAATAAATCAGAAGAATGTGCTGTAGTTTGTGACATCAAACATACAAACCTTGCAGGGAAAAAGAAAAACACCCCCCAAAAACCCCAAATGTTTTACTGCCCTAAAACCTTAATTCTACTCCTCACGCATCCTGTGTTAAAAAGAAGCAACCGGGAGAAAACTACAACATCAAATATGATTTAAGTATCATACAGCAAAAAAAGGCTACATCATTTTATAAAGCTTTGTCTCAGATATGACATTTCTCAACTTTTGCATGGTTGACGTTGCATGCACACGAGGTGTGTTTCATAAGACATATTTTTGGTTTGTTGTTTTGTTGTTGTTGCTGTCTTTGGGGATGAAGAGCTGCTACACAAATTGGCAGCAAAAGAGTATTCAAATCTCAGAGTGGGAAGATCACTTCTTGTCGTGTGCTGGCATTCATGGATGGCTGGATGCAACTAAGCACAGCACAGCTCCTGTTTTCAACCATCCCAGAGGACTGACACTTTTGTCAAGTGAGAAGGAAGTCAGAGAAGTCCCAAGAACCCATTATAATGGGAAATACTAGGCAATGGAAATGTACTGAAATGTATTTTACCATATAACTAAGGTCCCAATGTAATTCAAGATGAAATGCAAGTTTTCTCTAACTTCAAATTGGAAATTGTTACAACTTACACTTTTATTAAACTACTGAATTCTTGTAACCAGACCTGTGTTCTATCCCTTCCTCTCTACCCTAACTAGCTACCATTAATGGCACAACTAGGTATTATGGTAACTTTCTACCACTCACAAAGCTTCTCTTCTGACTAAGATAATTTTTGTTAACTTGGAGCTTTTTACCATCCACAAGTTTTATCTAATTATGTCAAAATACTTTAGATGAGTTAATCAGATGCCTGTTTATTGTTACAGTTTTCCAGGCAGGCACTCTGCTCTTCATTAAACTCTTCCCAGAATAATCTTAAATTAAGAGTTATCATTTAAATAACAACTCTAACTAAAGCCAGATTGGATGGGGCTTTGAGTAACCTTGTCTAGTGGAAGGTGTCCTTGCCCATGGCAGGGAGGTTGGAAGTAGATGATTTTAAGGTCCTTTCCAAACCTAACTATTCTATGATTCTATGATTAAGGTCCCTTTCATACCTTTACTTATTACAAAAAGTGTGCTGCTTCTCTGTTGGAATAAAAAAAATCCCAAACCCTCTAATTCTCTAGATATAAAATCTTAGTGGAGAAAGGCAGCAAAACCAACTTTTTACCTCAGTGTAATAAAATCCAATTCGGCAAGGTTTACCTTCATGAGCTACGCTGATTTAAAGACCGTCATCTTAACCACTCAGATTTCACAGCCATTATCAGTAATGAGAATTTTCAGTACAAAACCAAAAATTCCAGCAATTAAATCAAATTCAAGTGATGGTTCCAGCCTTTCTGCCTTTGATCAGTCCAGCTTAAAACAAATTATATCTTCACTTTAAGATGTTAACTGGAGCAAAAGTAATATTTTCTGTCTAATCCTAATTCAATTTCTGAACTTAAGAGGTGTTTTGTTTCTTTAATGGATGTTCATAGCCGCAGTGAGCTCTTCCAGGACACAGATACTGAATCCATGGACTGTTGGCTAATGCCTCATTTTAAGCAGCCATATTGCTATAAAACTCTAATGGGACCATTTGGAAGCTAACATTTATTTTTAACACCGCTTGTTCTATCTGGCAAACAAAGAAATGAGAAAGTGAAAT